GACACAAAAGCAGTTTGGATGGACACCCCAAGGGAGGTCAGTTATGGCATGGGCATTGAAAGAGCTGTTTGCTGACCCATGAGTGTCCTTGCTGTAGGCTCAGGGACCCATGTGATCTTCCTGGCAGAGCTGTCCTTCTGGCACTACAAGCCAGGGTGATTTCTTCCATGGTGGGCTGCAGGTGGCTAGCCAAGGTCTCGGGGAGGTATCCCCACGTGCACACAAATCCATTCTCTATCTGCCTATCCCATGCATGATGTGCGTTAGCTAACGCTGCTTCTCACTCCTTCATGCCCGTCCTCATACCTCATGACTTTTTGTGTGAATTAGAAAAAGCCAGGCTTTTGCATAGACAAACTCCATGGTGCATGGCTTAGTGACCTGGCAGAGTCTTTTTAAAAATTTTTGTTTATTCAGCATGGTACTGGTACCAAAACAGAGATATAGACCAATGGAACAGAACAGAGGCCTCAGAGGAAATACAACACACCCACAACCATCTGATCTTCGACAAACCTGACAAAAACAAGCAATGGGGAAAGGATTCCCTGTTTAATAAATGGTGTTGGGAAAACTGGCTAGCCATGTGCAGAAAGCAGAAACAGGACCCCTTCCTGACACCTTACACCAAAATTAACTCCAGATGGATTAAAGACTTAAACATCAGACCTAATACCATAAAAACCTTACAAGAAAATCTAGGCAAAACCATTCAGGACATAGGTGTAGGCAAGGACTTCATGACCAAAACGCCAAAAGCAATGGCAACAAAAGCCAAAATAGACAAATGGGACCTAATCAAACTCCACAGCTTCTGCACGGCAAAAGAAGCAGTCAGTAGAGTGAATCGGCAACCAACAGAATGGGAAAAAATTTTTGCAGTCTACCCATCTGACAAGGGGCTGATATCCAGAATTTACAAAGAACTAAAGCAGATCTACAAGAAAAAAACAAACAAGCCCATTCAAAAATGGGCAAAGGATATGAACAGATACTTTACAAAAGAAGACATACGGGAGGCCAACAAACATATGAAAAAATGCTCATCAGCACTGGTCATCAGAGAAATGCAAATCAAAACCACATTGAGATACCATCTCACACCAGTTAGAATGGCGATCATTAAAAAATCGGGAAACAACAGATGCTGGAGAGGATGTGGAGAAATAGGAACACTTTTACACTGTTGGTGGGAATGTAAATTAATTCAACCATTGTGGAAGACAGTGTGGCAATTCCTCAAGGACCTAAAAATAGAAATCCCATTTGACCCAGCAATCCCATTACTGGGTATCTATCAAAAGGATTATAAATCATTCTACTACAAGGACACATGCACACGAATGTTCATTGCAGCACTGTTTACAATAGCAAAGACCTGGAACCAACCCAAATGCCCAACGATGATAGACTGGATAGGGAAAATGTGGTACATATACACCATGGAATATTATGCAGCCATCAAAAACGATGAGTTCACGTCCTTTGTAGGGACATGGATGAACCTGGAAACCATCATTCTCAGCAAACTGACACAAGAGCAGAAAATCAAACACCGTATATTCTCGCTCATAGGCGGGTGTTGAACAATGAGAACACATGGACACAGGGAGGGGAGCACTACACACTGGGATCCGTTGGGGGGAAATGGGGGAGGGGCGGGGGATGGGGAGGTGGGAAGAGATAGCATGGGGAGAAATGACAGATACAGGTGAGGGGACGGAAGGAAGCAAAGCACACTGCCATGTGTGTACCTATGCAACAATCTTGCATGTTCATCACATGTACCCCAAAACCTAAAATGCAATAAAAAAAGGAAAAAAAAAATTTTTGTTTATTGTTATTTTATTCTATTTTTATTTTACTTTAAGTTCTGCTATACGTGTGCAGAATGTGCAGGTTTGTTACATAGGTATCCGTGTGCCATGGTGGTTTGCTGCACCTGTTGACCCATCCTCTAAGTTCCCTCGCCTAAACCTCCACCCCTCAACAGGGCCTGGTGTGTGTTGTTCCCCTCCCTGTGTTCTCATTGTTTAACTCCCACTTATGAGTAAGAACATCGGTGTTTGGTTTGCTGCTCCTGTGTTAGTTTGCTGAGGAGGATGGCTTCCAGCTTCATCCATGTCCCTGCGAAGGACATGATCTCATTCCTTTTTATGGCTGGATAGTATTCCATGGTGTATATGTACCACATTTCGTTTATCCAGTCTGTCATTGGTGGGTATTTGGGTTTGCTCCCTGTCTTTGCTATTGTAAATAGTGATACAGTAAACATACATGTGCATATGTCTTTATAGTAGAAATATTTTTATTCCTTTGGGTATATACCCAGTAATGGGATTGCTGAGTTAAATGGTATTTCTGGTTCTAGATCCTTGAGGATTGCCACACTGTCTTCCACAATGGTTGAAATAATTTACACTCCCACCAACAGTGTAAACGAGTTCCTATTTCTGTGTAGCCTCACCAGCATCTATTGCTTCTTGATTTTGTAATAATTGCCTTCTGACTGGCATGAGGTGGTATCTCATTGTGGGTTTGATTTGCATTTGTCTAATGATCAGCAGTGTAGAGCTTTGTCTCTTATGTTTGTTGGCCGTGTAAATGTCTTCTTTTTAAAAGTGTTGATATCATTTGCCCACTTTTTGATGAGGTTGTTTTTCTCTTGTAAATTGTTTTAACATTGTTGTAAATTCTGGATATTAGACCTTGGCCAGATGGGTAGATTGCAAAAATGTTCTCCCATTCTGTAGGTTGCCTATTCACTTGACCTGACAGTGTCTTTGTGTAAAGATAGTCTTTCTTCATCTGGGAAGACATAGCAAGCACAAGTCAATGGTGATTGGTTAATGGTAATGGTAATGTCCTCAGACTCTACTTAAACATTTTTTTTGCTCATTGACTTTTAAAATAGGTTATTTAGTTTATTATTTATGATTTTTAAAATTTTACTTTTATTTTTATGAATTTTTATTTCAGAACAGCTTTAGATTTACAGAAAAGTTGCAAATATAATATAAAGAGATCTCATATACCCTACACCCACTTTCCTGTGTTATTAACCTCTTACATTAGCATGGCACATTTGTAACAGTTAATGAACAAATATCTATACATTCTGAGCAGCTAACATCCATACAGTATTCAGATTTCTTTAGGTTTTAACTGGATGTCCTTTTTCTGTTCCAGGATCCCATCTAGAATATCACATTACATTTAGTCATCACGTCTTTAGGCTCCTTTTGGCTGTGACAGTTTCTCAGACTTTCCTTATACACTAGTTCCTCTGTTTCCAAGGGGGTTTGGTTCCCTCAGGTGCACAGAGGTTCAAGTGCCTGATATAAAGTGATGTAGTATTGACATATAATTTATGCACATCTTCCATATGCTTTACTTCTAGATAACTTGTAATACCTAATACAATGTAAATACTAAGTAAATAGTTATTATACAGTATTTAAGGAATAATGACCAAAAGAAAAAAAAAAGTCTGTGCAAGTTCTCTACAGATGTATGTTTTTTTTCTGAATATTTTTCTTCTTTAGTTGTTTTAATCCATGGAATCCATGGATATGGAGGTTCAACAGTATTTGGTACCCTTGTCTGCTGTCAAGAGTACCAGTCAGGCGTTCTGTGGCAAGATCTCCCAGTGGTTTATCTAATGCTTTCTCCATGACTAGACTGGGTGTTTTAGACTGGTTCTTTAATAAGTTTTATTACTGTTTAGGTATGGTAAGGTCAACAGATAGGGAGACAAATGTCATTGTAAAAAGAATTTGTTTACCTACAGATCCCAAGAGAGGGCTTCCACGTCATGTTATGGGGCCATCTGGGGAAGCACTGGTGTCAATCAGGAGGTGAGGTGGGCCATTGTAGGGAGGAATCTTTGTTGTGGTTTCTGCAAGAAGGAACAGGCAAAGCAGGGTAAGCAGGCTTGGGATTGGCTAGTTTGAATGACTTAACTGGGCCGGAGCCTAGGGGCTCCCTAATACCTAGTTGCCTGGTACCAGACCGGGGTGATTAGGTCCAGTGGAGAGTGGCCAGGGGTGTGAAAGTCCTATAAGGCAGCTAGTTGGGGTGTAGACTCTGGATTGGCTGGTTTGTATTTGAAAAGCACACCTCTGGAAGGACTTCCCCTGAGGAGTTGGGGACTGGGAGAGAGTGAGGCAACAAGGGAAGCAGAGGCCAACGTCAGGTGACTCTGGCATATTATCGGGTTGTCCAGAACTAGCTGTGTTGGGTACATGCATATTGGGCAGATATTATAGGATGAAGTTTATGGAATCTAGAAACATGCCTAATACACAGATTCCACAGAACAAAAGTGACATTTTCATGACATCATATCAAGGGCACACACTATCAGCACAACTTCTCTGTTGAGTTTGACCTTGATCAATGGCAGATCAGGCTCTCCTTTTGTAGACACCTCTTCCACTTGATGCCCACCTTTAACATTTATCTCATATGTTTGAAGTTTTACATGCATAAACATGCATATAATTTTCCTGAGTTTTGATATTGCAGAAGAATCAACATGTTGATGGTGAGTTCTAGTACTTAAAGTTGATGTCCTCTTTGGTATGGGTGTCTCCAAAGAATGGAGTCTTGGGCTTCAGGCAAGTTGAGTTTACAGGGGAGACTTGTGTTTGGACATCCTCACTGTTCCCTAAAATAGTAGTGCTTTATATATTTCCAATTGCTGACTAAACATCTAAATAGATACTTGTGGCTCTGTCAGGAGTTTGGGCTGATTGCCACTGCAATGAGATAAGATATATCCATAATACTTAGCTTTCAGTCAAAAGACTCAGAGTGGTAGTCTGTTTCTGCATATAAATGTAAAAATTCCTGGTTACAACTCCCTAATGTTGGTGGAGATGGTGAGAAATATATAAATTTCCTTACTCTGGTTTGGAAGATCCTGAGTTTGGGGAAGGCAGGACATGGAGTCAACTGGTGGATAATTCACCTGCATCTCTCTTTTCCTCACGCCTCAGGGTCTAAGTCACAGAACTGTCTGTGGAACTCCCTCATCGATGGGCTTACAGGGAATGTCAAGGAGAAGCAACGGCCAACAATTGTCCACGACCCTCGACCCCCAGAGGAAATCCTAGCGGATGAATTGCCACAGCTGGATAGCCCAGAAGTCTTGGTGAAGACATCCTTCAGGTTTGGTGGATTGCAACTCAATGTGTTCCTTCTCGTTTGCTTGTGGAGTTGTTTCAATCCAGTTAGATGCAGAGTCAGTGTGGCCAGCAAATTACTTCATTTCTTTGAGCTGAGTAAAGTAGAATTGATGAAGGAGGGTTGGAATTGATGCTAGCTGGACTTCTGGCTGGATTTTCTGAATGTAGTGAAGATCTTACCAGTAGTTAAGTTACTGTTGTTATTTAATTGGTGTTGGCATTTAAATGCTGAGGCAAACGATTTACTGATGTTGGCAGTTTGAATTGTATTAATAAGTCTTTTGCTTCAAAGGAGGATGACGCATCCAGATAAGGGTGTAGAGAAAAAGCACGTGTTGAGAATTAATTCAGCCCTGTGTCTTTAGAGTCTCTTGCTGGGGAAGGTTTCCAGTTGTAAAAGATGTAAGAGCTGCTCCTGACGGAAATAAAGTGAGAATTTTCTCATGTTATTTCCCAGGTGGCTGTTTACTCTGTTCTAGTTCATCGTTTAGCCTTGCATCTTCCTGCAAGGTCTTTTATTTTCTTTTGATATTGTACTCCTTATAACTCGGTCCCTTACCTTCTCACCCATATTAAATAAAAATCAATCTGGGTATGAATGTGGTGTAAAAAGGTGATTCCCAGCCCCGCCATGGGCCTTTCAGACTCACATTTGAACAGTATATTTATAGTACTATTGGTATCAGTAATTAAGACTCAATCATTTTTCCAGCTTGCCTGCTGCCTCTCCTTTCTTTTTGTTATGTCACTTTTACTTATTTTGCTTTTCTTTCCACTATAGTCTTTCATACCCTCCACATGGTTAGAAGAACATATAAGCCTCGTTTTTCTCTCCCCATAAACAATTCAGACAGCTATTGGAGTTCCATGAAATATGTTTGAAAATGTACTCTCTTTTGCATCCAGGTAATATGTGTAATTGCTCAGTGAGAGCTATTATTGTGTGAAGTTTCTTAGTGTCGACTGAATTATAGATGAGTTATAAAAGAAGTGATAAATAGAGATTTGGATTTCTTTATACAGTGTGACAAGTGCATTGGTGAGACAAGAATTGCAGGCAAATGCTGTTTTTATTTCTGCTAAGGGCTTGGCTATCGCATCATAAGGTTTCAAATAGAATAAAATCCACTCACCTAGAGAGAAGTACATCTTACGAACCTGCAATTCTCAGCAAGTGACTGTGGTGAAAGAGGAGACCGTGAATAGCTTTCTCTGTCTATACGTTCTCACCTTGGAACATCTCTTATGGAGTTAGTTTCTTCTCCTAAGTCTTATAACTACTCCTTCTACCCCAAAGCAGGTTCTTCATCTTCTTCAATAAACAGGCAAAGAGTTAATCTTATGAAAAGAACATCTTATTTGCTCACCCAACTCCGTTACCATCATGTTTTTTTTTTTTTTGCATTCTCTTGGTGCTTTTTAATAAAGAGGATGTATTGATGCCCATGAGCATTATTTAATCTGTTAGTTGTTCATGTAGCAATGTCTTGGTTCCTGAGAGAGAGTAAGTTATAAGTTGAATGTCTGGACTTATTTTTGTTTCCTTGTAACACTTGGTGCTGTAGGAAGCAGACAGCAGTTGCATGCAGGTTATGCCAACCCTTTAGCAATTGAGACAAGAAATCTATTAGCATTTATTTATTTTTTATTGGTACCTTTAATACAACTGTATACTATTCTGTAACTATCCCTTCTTCCAAAGAAGTTGATTGATTTTGATGCCAATGTTAAATGGCAGATACTCTCTTCTGCAATTGTCCTTAGCTGTCACCACAGTTCATGTTCACCATGATCAGTTGTAAGATTTGTTGTACATAAATTACTACAAGTACTCAGGTATGGGAAGAGTTTATTTATCAATAAATACATCAGAGCAGAATCGAGGTTACCTTACGGCTCTTTTCTAGGGTCATTACAATCGAGTGGTACCACAATAAGGGTAAGTGATAGCTTTGATTACTTCCTTCTCTTTCTCCTTGGTCATACTTGGAGGGCATTTTGGATATAGGGCCATGAAATACGGTCATCAGCTCTTACCAAAGAAGATACAAAAGACAATGTCAATAAAGCCAATGTGCCAAATTATCAGGAGGTCCAGTCTTTTCTCAGGTGTTCTTGTCCCTCACTATTTCCAAGGACCCCCAGCCTTATTGACGGTGGTTCGGGAATCATCACTTATTCTGCTATGCCTTTTGCCCCTTGCTAGGGAAATGAGGTCACATGTTGGGTGTGGACTTTCTGACCTCAGTGAAATTAGGTGTCTCTGTCATCAACCCAGATGACCTTTTCCTTGTGATGTCTCCTCTCCTTGACTTTTGCTGTCTTTTCCTGACACCTGGCCTCAGCACAACCACAGTTTTTCTCAGACATATTCTAATAACGTTGATTCTCAAAAGTAAGCGGTAGGATACTTAATTCCACTTTTCCCAGAAATCTTTTCTAGCTCTCTGCAAGGTAGAGTCAAATATACACAAGCTACTTCCAGGACAAAATGTGTATACTTGTTTAATATTTGCATTTTATTTCCATTTAAGTAGTTCTTTTCACAGCAAAGGGACAGTCTGCTCTAAAGCTAAATTCTACTTTCTGTTTCCAAAGACAGGAAGTGTTTATAAATTTATCAATGATGGGTGTTTTTCAAAAAAGTTTCAAACATTTTTATGTTTCAGTCTCCCCCAGGCTCTGTTACATCAGCAATAGCTGTTCTTATTTGTCAGGTTTGACCCAAAAAACTCAAGGATTCTGTCCATTTTAGAGACAAAGAAACTGGTCCAGAGAGGTAAAGCCTATAAAAAATGGCTTGTAGATTGCTGGTCTCCAAAGCAGCAGCAAGGAGTAGCTTGGGCAGAGTTTAGGTCTCACTTTGTCAGCCCACCACAAATAAGTATATCATCTGTACACTCACATAAAAAGCATGCTTGTGACTCAAATGCAGCTTCAAGACATGTTCCTGGGCCTTCTCTTCCAATCAGGCTGCAATCCCTAGGTATAGCCTATAAATAATCTGAATTGTCACTGGGTTCATGTCATTTACTAATAATGCCAGAGGGTTTAGCTGAAAGTGAGAATTTGACACACTGACTTAGAAATAAAGATTTTGGAAAATGAAAGGCACCAGCCTTCTTCCCCAAGGGTTGTGTGTTGATAGTTGAGGTTTGTGCAAATGCCATCTCAACTCTAGGTATGGTCCCTGACAGTCTTCCCTCTTGTCCCCCACCCAGCTGGGCAGTGCTGATGAGGCAAATGCTCTGTGTATGGGAGCAGACAGTTTAGCAGAGTCTTGGGAGGAAGGTTCCAGAGCTTGAGGGGAAGGTTTCCTCGTGGCTGTCCAGGTTCAGATCCCAGCCAACATTGCTGGAAAGCAACACAGTTCAGTGCTCAGTTGTACTAAGGGCGTTAGTCTTTACTCTCCATGAAAGGGACATTCTAAGCTATCCAGATGGGAAAGTCTGACTTCTGATAATGGCTGTACTGGGCTTCAGTACCAACCCCATTACCCCTGGCAAATTGTTTCATCTCTTCAAACCTCTGTTTTTAATCCCCACCACCTCCCTAGCTATATAAAGGCATAATTGACAAACAAAATTTGTATACAATTTACGATGTAAAATAATATAATGTTTTGTAGTATGTGTGTGTTGCAAAATGATTAAATCAAGTTAAATAATATATCCACCACTTCACATAATGCCCACACCCCCTCCTCCCGCCTATTTTGTGGTGGCAAAATCTCTGTTATTTTAACTGTCATGCTAAGGTTGGACTTGAAGAGTGGTCTGATGGTTCAAACTTGAGTGTGCTTCACAATCACCTGGGGGGATTGTTAAAACAGACTGTTGGGCTCATGCCAGGTCTAGGTGGGGCCCAAGGGTGTTCGTCTCTAACAAGCTTCAGGTGATACGGATGCTGCTGGTCCAGGATCACACCTGGAGAACCACTGCACTAGGTGAGATTTAGGATCCCTTTGAACTTGAGAGTATTTTGCTATGTTAATTTGAGCAAGTCACTTACCTATTGATATGGTTTGGGTCTGTGTCCCCACCCAAATACCATCTTGAATTGTAATCCCATATGTCAAGGGAGGAATCTGATGGGAGGTGGTTGGATTATGGGGGCGATTCCCACTATCTGTGATAGTGAGTTCTCACAAGATCTGACGGTCTTATAAGCTGCTGGCATTTCTCCTGCTTACTCTTCTCTCTTCTGCTGCTATATGAAGAAGGTCTTTGCTTCCCCTTTGCCTCCCACCATGATTGTAAGTTTCCTGAGGCCTCCCCAGCCATGTGGAATATTCAGTCAATTAAACCTCTTTCCTTTATAAATTACCCAGTTTCAGGTATTTCTTTATAGTGGTATGAGAACAAACTAATTCACCTATTCTGGCCTGTTTTAAAATATTTGAAATGAGAATAAAGAGACCCCCTTCCTGGGGTTTTGGGAGGATTTAAAGAAGATAACACATGTGAAAGAGCCAAACACAGTGTCCAGCACCCAGAACAAGCTCAGTAAGTATTAATTTGGGATTCATGCTCAGCACATGCAGGAATCCTTGCATGCCCTTGAGCCTACTCACATAAAGTTAAATAGGATCAAACATGGGTTTTGTCACTCCAGGTGCAGACACTGTGAGCCCTGAAAGCTTACTAAACATGTGGCATGAAAAGTCTGTTTTCAAAACCTGACATTTTTGAAAAGAAGAAAGTGAGAAAAAGAAATAAAGAAAAAGGCTTCAGTGCCTGGAAAATAGACACTCCTGGGAACCCACCTTGGGTGCCTCTTTCCTTGTTTCTCATATCCTTTCCCTTTAAACCTGTTGCTCTGCCCAGGCTTTTCTTAAAAGAGAATAGAGAATAAATTGAACCTGGGGCCTAAGGAAGACAGACAAGTCCATCCAGTCTGATTAGTGACAGGAATCTCAATACCTGCCACTAGAGGACCCAAGAGAACAGGAAAGAGCTGGCTGCTGAGAGATGTTTCTCTCCT